ACCCCTGTGACCTTGAATATAATTGAAGGTCATTCATTTGAACAAACTTGGTAGCCCTTCACCCAAGCATGCTACTGGCCAAATATCAACTCCCTGGGCATTTTGGTTATTGAGAAGAAGATGTTTAAAATTTTTGACATATTTGACCCCTGTGACCTTGAAAATAGGTGAAGGTCATTAATTTTAACAAACTTTGTAGCCCTTCATCCAAGTTTGCTTCTGGCCAAATATCGACACCCTAGGCCTTTCGGTTATTAAGAAGAAGTCGTTTAAAGTAAAATATTGACGCCGGACGACGGATGGACGGACGACGGACGCCGCACCACAGCATAAGTAGTTTACTAAAAATCATTCAAAAAAGTAAATATTTTCAATTATATTTTCTGAACAATAGTAAACTACAGCTATATATTTCGAATTAGAAATAATGAAAAGGCTTTACTTACAATATATGTATAGAAGTAAAACACATATTTAGCAACACAAAATTTGATGCTTTGAAACACAAGGTATTCACAATACCCTCAACTCATTCACCCCTGAAGACACATTTTAACTCTTCCAATTCAAAGGTTGGAATAGTTCATTATGAAATTTCAGGGGTGGATGAGTTAATTAGAAAAAAGTTGGTTTATGGTATCCTTGCTACAGTTTGAACACTGCTGAACTCATTCACCCCTAAACATACATTTGAACTCTTCAAATTACATGTCGGAATAGGTTATTATGTTATTTCAGGGGTGAATGAGTTAATGATAAGACCTCCAATCCCATCACCTAAGAATACTCCCAATCCCATCCCCTAAGAATACTCCCAATCCCATCCCCTAAGAATATTCCTAATCCCACCACCTAAGAATACTCACAACCTCATCACCTAAGAATACTCACAATCCCACCTAAGAATACTCACAATATCATCACCTAAGAATATTCCCAATCCCACCACCTAAGAATACTCACAATCCCACCACCTAAGAATACTCACAATCCCATCACCTAAGAATACTCAAAATCCCATCACCTAAGAATACTCACAATCCCATTAATTAAGAATATTCCCAATCCCATCACCTAAGAATATTCCCAATCCCACCACCTAAGAATACTCCAAATCCCATCACCTAAGAATTCTCACAACCTCATCACCTAAGAATACTCACAATATCATCACCTAAGAATATTCCCAATCCCATCACCTAAGAATATTCCCAATCCCACCACCTAAGAATACTCACAATCCCATCACCTAAGAATACTCCAAATCCCATCACCTAAGAATACACCAAATCCCATCACCTAAAAATACTCACAATTCCTTCACCTAAGAATGATCCCAATCCCACCTAAGAATACTCCCAATCCCCTTACTTAAGAATATTCCCAATCCCATCACCTAAGAATGCTCCAAATCCCATCACCTAAGAATATTCCCCATCCCATCACCTAAGAATACACCAAATCCCATCACCTAAAAATACTCACAATTCCTTCACCTAAGAATGATCCCAATCCCACCTAAGAATACTCCCAATCCCCTTACTTAAGAATATTCCCAATCCCATCACCTAAGAATGCTCCAAATCCCATCACCTAAGAATGATATTCCCAATCCCATCACCTAAGAATACTCCAAATCCCATCACCTAAGAATACTCACAATCCCACCTAAGAATACTCCCAATCCCATCACCTAAAAATACTCACAATTCCTTCACCTAAGAATGATCCCAATCCCACCTAAGAATACTCCCAATCCCCTTACTTAAGAATATTCCCAATCCCATCACCTAAGAATGCTCCAAATCCCATCACCTAAGAATGATATTCCCAATCCCATCACCTAAGAATACTCCAAATCCCATCACCTAAGAATACTCACAATCCCACCTAAGAATACTCCCAATCCCATCACCTAAAAATACTCACAATTCCTTCACCTAAGAATGATCCCAATCCCACCTAAGAATACTCCCAATCCCCTTACTTAAGAATATTCCCAATCCCATCACCTAAGAATGCTCCAAATCCCATCACCTAAGAATGATATTCCCAATCCCATCACCTAAGAATACTCCAAATCCCATCACCTAAGAATACTCACAATCCCACCTAAGAATACTCCCAATCTCATCACATAATAATACTCCCAATCCCCTTACTTAAGAATACTCACAATATCATCACCTAAGAATACTTCCAATCGCATCACCTAAGAATACTCCCAATCTCATCACCTTAGAATACTCACAATCTCATCACCTAAGAATACTCACAATCTCATCACCTTAGAATAATCACAATCCCATCACCTAAGAATACTTCCAATCTCATCACCTTAGAATAATCACAATCTCATCACCTAAGAATACTCACAATCTCATCACCTTAGAATAATCACAATCCCATCACCTAAGAATATTCCCAATCTGATCACGTAAGAATAATCACAATCCAATTTGGTTCAAAAACTGTACAGCAGTTATTGAAAAGAAGTTATTATAAAAATTGCTTAAATATGTTAATAACAGACAATTAATAGACAATGCACAACAACAAATCACAATTCCTCACTTGGCCCTTTTGGCTAGGTGAGCTAAACAATTGACAGGCGAATGAGGGGTGGACACCACATGTACACAGCAGCTGTGTACCCCTCATTCGGCTGTCAGCCCATGAGCTTGTTGGCACTTTTACCAGGTGTGCTAAAAATGTAAGAAACTCAAATTCCAGCTAAAATATACTGTACATTCAATGGCTTACCTAAGACTTTATAAATGAATGGAAGACATTTGTATAATATTGAATGGAAAACTGGATTTCTCATTAGTCCTCCTAACAGTTTAACAAGAATAAATGGACGGAGAGTACTGCAAAACAAAAGACAATTTAAACAGCAAAGAGTTAAATATGCTCTGAACTATTGCATCTGTTAATCAAATTCAGGTTTCTCAAAAATGTTATCCTTCTGATAATTATATCTCATAAAGCTAGATTTGCCACGATATTTCAAGCTATAATCAAATTTCTCTTTTCTCATTTAAATTGGACACACTTTTTTAAAGTTTATCTTTCTATATTCGAACTGAATTGTATGATCTCCCATTTAAGCCAGTGTATCCCATAAAGTTGCAAAAACATAATTAGATTTCTGAAAATAATTCACAAATAAATAACTTCACATGCCACATAAATCATGAAAGCTATAATATTTTCACAATTATTTCCAAATTCAAACTGTCCATGAACTTTCTTGTATTGCAAGCAATTTTATTTGGCCACTTTCCCACTATTTTCCAGTACCGTCCCATTTTAGATCCACTTGATGTTAGATTTCTACTTTTTGAAAAAAAAGAATTACCGGTGATGTCTTTTACCAAGTGGGTTTAGAAGGACTGAGGATTTGACAAGGTGAAGGTCAGCCGCTGCCTTGTAGTTCAGCCAGGTCCCTGCACTGTGGCCAATTAACACATCAACCCTGTTGGAAACATACAGAAATTACACAATACTTGTTCAAGATCCTTTATTGAGGCTCTGAGTTGAACTCTAGATTACAAATTTTAATTAAATGCCCTAATTTAGAATGTACATGTACCTCTTTAGCTGACATGTTTGTAACAAACCAATTATAAGTGATTAGCTATCTCTGTCGTATACATGTATAACCATATTACATGTCAAGTAACACTCCCAGGCAGGTGCCCCAAAAACTACATCTAATTACAATTTTGTGAACAAAAACATGAATTGAAAAAGAGATAAATACAATTGATTCTCTCAATTGCACATTCCACATAATCTTGACCAATACCTGGAGATGGCTAAAGCGTCCAGTATGGTGATCAGCATATGACTTTTCCCTTCTGTGCTGTGATCAAGGCGGTATACATCCTGTCCTAAAAGTCTGCTTTTTCCAAACCCTGAAATTTTAATAAACATTTAGAAATTGCAATTGATTTCATTTACATAAGAATACAATATGCAAAGGTGTAGTAATTATAAATTACAAATACCATCTCATATATCCACTAGCTCCTGAAAGTCACCCACCCGCCATGACGTCATGCATTCACATAAAGATAAAATTGATAATTTATATATACAAAGGTAATATTAGCAATTTAAATATCTGAGACGTCATGTTTATCATTCAAATCTAAATTGTTGAACAGCATGACTTATATACCGATAGATGAAGAAAGGTGTTCTCAAAGTGGAAGAACTATACATAATGTATAGGTTTCAGATTGATGTTTACCTGGAAAGTCAAGTCCCACAACTCTGACGCCATGTCCTGCTAGCTGTCTTCCTATGGCGTCAAAGTCTTGGGAGGATCCAGGTACTCCATGTGCGGTGACAACCAGTGGAGTGCTAGGTGTCATGTTGACTGGGTGTACATCCCTAACACCGACATCTATTGTCATCCTCTCCCCAGGGGTTCGTGTTTGGAATGAGACTGGTAAGGTATAGTATTGTTCATGATCAGAGTGGGTAACAAGTCTTCTTACTGACAAAACACATTGTCTCTGAACTCTCCTGTGACAGATGTTTCCCCTGGAGAGTAGTCGCACTACTGGTAATTGATTTGTAGGAATTCTTAACAGCATTTTCACAGGCTGTCCATAAGTAAACATTATTGTTCATGTATAGCTTACTGGTGTCTTCTCCAAATTAGTAGCCATATCTGTAGGATATCTGAAGAAGTAGAAAGAATAGAAAATTCATAATAAACAGACATGGGCAACCTTGAGTCACCTTGGCCCAAGGATGCTCCAGACCAATTGACAAATTTAGGTTAACCTCCATTTTTCAGTTTATTCATCACACAAGAATGTCTAGTGCTTTAAATTTACAATATAAGATGAACCTGTATTTTTGCTTTTGGGTCCCATACCTCTGCCCCAGGAATATGGTACCTTTAAATTTGATCCTTTAATACTTACAGTATTGATTCTCCTTTGCCAACTCCAAAAGAAGTTGGATTACAATTTACAATTCTTTAAGCTTAATTTCAAGAAGAAGGGTTAAGAAAATAGCATTTTTTCCCAAATCGGGTCCTGCCCCTCTGCTAGCACTAATCACAGAGGTCTATTACCCTTCTACTCTACATTATGTTGAGTCCCCTTGACCCAGCATTTCTCTAAACCAAATCTAGTAAAAATCCTTTCAGTTGGTCTGGACTACCCTGGTAGAAGCATATAAAAGGGCAAGTGGACAATGCTTTTTTTATATATATCCAAATGTGTATATTTCCTGTGACATGAATAATAATAAATATTCAGGAAAAGACATACATAACAAAACAATTTCATATATATATATGTAGGTAATTTACAAAGTTGACATCTATAATTGATGTGTTTTGCCCAATACCCTTGGATTATAGCCCAAAAAAGCCATAGAACTAAGCTTACAATTGTACAGTATTTCAAATGGGACCCCCTGCTGAGCATACCTGCGACATATTATTTCCAGTTATCTGTATGTTAACTTTACTATGGGAGTCCAATATTTATTGTTAATCTCTGCTTTTTTTTCCAAAATAATTCTTACTCACTTTTTTTCTATTTTGATAAAAATAATAATTGGCACTGTAATTAAGATAAGTATTGGAGACATAAGTTTTGGCACGGAATTGTTCGTGGTTTTGGTAACACTGTATTATTATAAAGATGTCTATTAATTGACACACCAAACCCTAATTGGTTGGATATATTTTTTTTTTTTTTTTATAATTTGTTTATTTTTAAAGACATTTTTATTACATAAATACATAAACACACATACACCCACATACATACAATTCCCATTTGCATGGTTTGTCTCTTGCATCGTCAAATCTTTCATCATCATCATCCTCATCGTGACTGAATATCATCATCAGCCTTGTCAATCATCATCAATAGTAATACACCATTATCATCTTAATA